AATTACAAATCCTACAATTGTTTTGCATCTCATTCTTCCCTTCTTTCACTGTTGTTGTTGGTTGTTGTAGTTCTTTTGTTTTTGTTTTGTTTTGTTTTTTAATCCTAGGACTATGCCAATGCCTTTTCTGCACCTAGGTCTTTATAGCTAATATTTCACCTTCCGGAAATATGCTTTCTCCAACCATATGCATGGTTTTAGGTCTCAATTCAGGAGAGATATTCCTAATCATCCAGTCTAAAGTAAACTCTCCTGTTGTTCTCTTTCATAGAGTCCTATTCTCTGGATACAGAAGACCAATAATATGCACATGTTGGTAGTTTACTTATTTAATGTCTCAATATTACCATAAGCTCCTTGTGGTTAGGACATCTAATTTACTAATCATCTTGTATCTAGTTCATATAATAGTACATAATTATTTGGAAGCACTTAATAAATATTTGTGAAATAAATAAATTTTATTAATAATAAATTTTATTTTTAAAAGGGATTGGTACTTATTTATCTATTTATTTAACTACAGCAAAGTTCTAAATTAGAAACTTATTGCTCTACTCCACCAAATTCTACACAATAAGTCAATAAAATATAAGGAATTATTATATTATTAACTAAGTTTATAGTTGTTTCCTACAACAAAACTCATTCATTTTTGGTTACCATACCCAAATATGTCATAGGCTAAAACTGCAGTTTCTCTATATGCCTCAGTTATTGTATTGCTTTCAAACTTCCATTTTATGCTACCAAATTCACTCCATTTTTAGTGGAAATCATAAACACAATAATTAATATGTTAGATAAATAATCTTGCAAAATAATAATTACCAAATGGTTTAAAATTACCTGACGTTCTTAATCCAGGGACAGCCATTTCCAACATTGGAACTTTCACAGTTATAAAATCTCGCTTACATTTCTCAACATCTCCATCATTTAAAACCATGTCCACAATTTCACTTACCCAAGTGGTACCTGTGGCAAAAAGCAACTTTTTTTTAAAATTTTTTTTTAATATATTTTATTGATTTTTTACAGAGAGGAAGGGAGAGAGATAGAGAGTTAGAAACATCGATGAGAGAGAAACATCGATCAGCTGCCTCCTGCACATCTCCTACTGGGGATGTGCCCGCAACCCAGGTACATGCCCTTGACCGGAATCGAACCTGGGACCTTTCAGTCCGCAGGCCGATGCTCTATCCACTGAGCCAAACCGGTTTCAGCAGCAACATTTTTTATAAACCATAATCTGAATCTGAGGGGAAAAGTACCTATTGTAAGCCTGCCATCATAATATATTTCATTAGAAAACTTAATTCTGCAGTTTCATTTTCTATGCCCCAAATGCCCATTTTAATATATTTGAAGTAGATTGCTAGACTGACTGATAGGCATATTAATTTTATTTAGGATGATAATGATTTCATAGAGAAGTTGATTTTCAGAAAACAAAGGTTGATATGAGACCTGCATTTTTCAGGCCACAGAACTCACCTGATTTGGGATAAGTGGCTATCACAGTGTCATCTGGCCTGCTGTGGAACTGTTCAACCCTTCCCCAGTTGTCCACAAAAGCATAGGTCATGGGATAGCCATGAACCATCTTCAAATTTTTTCTCAGGACGTCTTTGGGAGTAGTCATTTTTGTACCAAATTGTACAGATTCTTAATAGAATTCTTTTTTTTACAGTCAAATCCTGGAGAAATAAAGAGAATGAAAATCAGAAGCTGAGTAACTGATGTTATTCATAAGAGACCGCAACATGGCACAAAGTAAAATTGGCCTCTAACACACGGAGCACACAGAGATCTAAATACAAAGGGCGTTTTTGTGGGTATACAGCTGTAGATTGCAAGAGCAGCAATTGGCCCTATGACAAGCAGAACAAAGGTCTTTGGTGGAAGCTTTGGAAGGAAAGGGAACTGCATATCTTACTTTGAATTTAAAAAATCAGACTTCAGAGACTTATGTTAAAAACTATCTGGACTTAATGCAAAGTAAGTGTATCACTCATGATTATACTTTAGTTTACCTCATTTTTCCTTATAGAAATCTGTTTTCTTTCCTACCATTCTTTCTCTGTCCAGAATGCATCTGTTTTCTCTGTCTACTTGTAAGTTCTTTGTCACTGATTTTGAGCAATTAAATTACGATGTGCCTTAGTGTGGTTGTTTTCATGGGCGTGTGTCTATGCTCAGGCGTGCATACTTCAGGTTTATCAAGCTTCTTAGAAATGTGAGTTTTACAGTCATTATTTCTCCAAATCTTTTTTCTGTTTCTTCTTCCTTCTGGGATTTGAGACCCCATACAATTTCTAACAGCTAACTGATGTCCGATTCGTTTTTAAAAATCCTTTTCTCTTTTTGTGTTTTAATTTGGATGATATCTATTGTTATGCCTTTATGTTCACTAACCCTTTCTTCTACAATGTATAATCTGATGTTAATCCCATCCAGTGCATTTTTTTCAGACATTGTGGTTTTCATCTCTAGAAAATCATTTTGGGAATGATTATATATTCCCTGTCTCAACTTTTCAAACATATTGAACACAGTTATACTGACATGTTTGCAGAGTCTGCTTAAAGACACAAAACAAGTTAATGGCAACCCAGAAATAGATTTAATTTCCCAGCTCTGCTCCCTTTGTCACAGTGCAAATCTACCATGGGTGGGATCTACCCAAAGTCAACAAATGTTCGTGATTTATCTTATTCAAATAAGAGGTTTACAGTTTATAAGGAAATCTTTCTTTGACAAAGCAAACTTTCCCTGACAAAAAGCACAAGCTCTCCATACTGTGAAAATGTCAGAGATTAATGGTATGAGTAACAATATGAAAATAAGGCAGCTGATCTGAATACACCCTGGTCACATCTGGGATGTGGGTGTAACCAATTTAGAAACCCAGGAGGATTAATCCTGAATTAACATGGCTCATTGTGACTAGTGGCTGACGATGATTTAAGAATAATATTGGGAGATGAGTCCAGGGGTAGGACTGGAAAATATAAGAATACTAATCTCATTGAACCAGATACATTGGAAGATGGTTCATTATGATATTTACTTTTAAATATGAAAGTTAGTTCATAAAAAATCTTTTAACTATAAGCATGCTCAAAATGGAAATCATTCAAAAGAGCACAATTATCTGTGGATGCAAGACAAAAACTTAAAGAAGAGAGATTTAAAAAGCAAACTTTGCCTCACAATTTAATCCCCTATTTTAGTTTTCATTGTCTGTCAATAGTGCTGCTGTTGAAAGGAACCCTGGGAGCCTGAAGTAGTCCAGGAAGGGCAGGGCTAGGGAGTCCAGGGAGGGGGGAAAAAGTAGTTTCAGGATATGATCTGTATGTAGTAGTCGGTGACTTTACAGTCAATTAAGATATAAAACAGAGGCAAGGCCTGCTGTTTCAACAGCTGGCAAAGCCAGGAAGCACTGAGGAGGAAATGAATCAGGGTGGTGGCCAGAATTGAGCAAAGTAAAAAATTGTATAGATTTGAAGGTTTCCACAAGGCTTCAAAGGATCTGAGAGGAATGCATAGGCCAAGAACCAGAAAGATCAGTGGATGAAAGACGGTTGCTTCTCTAGCACATATAAGAATGACTTCTAATTTTGGTTGTGATGAAAAGTCATGATGTTTGTGTGTATGTGTTTTCATCTGGAAGAAGCATAAGTTCCCAATATCATGGAAAGAGCAAACATATGCTGAAGCAACAATTTTGGCAGCAGAAACAGAGAGGCTCGAGCTAATGGTTTAAGAATGGGCAGATACATAGAGAAGGAGTGAACAAGAAGCTTGTGTGTGGAGAAATAGAAATGTGCTCCTGCCCTCTACCCCCACTACGTCAACCGCCCTATAAGATTCCCTTTTGGTCTAGTTTCTGGTATCAATCCTTTTATGAAGAACATTTGTTTCAAACTTAAATACAACTGTAATCACCAACCCCTTACTCTGGTAATTATACTGATCAGGGTAGGCTTGGTGAAGTCAAAAGGCCCAGAAAGAAAGTAGCACACTTTTATATATCCCATTTTACTTACAGATTTAAAAAAAAAATTCTAGACATATTTGTGTTTCTAAAAGACCTTGCCATTAACAACAGATTTCTAATTTTTTTTTCAGCCAGTGTTTTAATTTTTAATTTGTGTGGAAGGCAGAAGTGTGTGTGTGAGGGAGAGAACCTGGTTTATTGGTGTTTTGCTGCAATTATGGGAACCATAATCCTTCTCAGTGCATGTGCGGTACAAATCTGGAGAGTACTGAGACCCATCCTGTTAACATCAATGTGGCTCTCTTTGAGGATTTGGAACATATGATTTTTTCTGTGATATACTTTAAGCTAGTTTGTTCATTTTTTGTATGATTTTGTAACTCTGTAGACTAAGGAATTTTCTTTCCTTTTGATGACACATGCGGATTGGTTTCCACAAACTACCACCTTCCTGCTCACCATGCAATCAAATGACATGTTCCAAAGACACAGGGTCAATATAGTCCTACCAACGTTTAGAAATAATATTTTTAATTGGATATACAGATTTGCTATTAAAAATTAACTTTTTAGTGTTTGTTTAAAAATCAACTGATATAGGCAAGATAATGGACATCTAGACAACCTGAAATCAGGCAGAGATTGGAGACCTCATAAATAGTATAATAGTATAATAGACTGTCAGTATAATAGATTAATGGACTAGCCCAGCCACAATTAGTGAAGCCATGCAAAATAACAGCAGGACCACTGAAGTCAGTGGGGGGAGCCTATGGGCAAGAGGGTGGCCTCTATAACCAAACCCCCTGAGCTTTAAATTCCAAACTCAAGTTTCACCTTTCTGTACCTCTATAAGAAAAACAAAATTCTAACAAAAATATTTAAAACTTGTTTATCTTAGTTGAAGTTAATTTTAAAATTATCTTGTAATATAAATTCATGCATCATAAGATAATAAGGGGAAAAATGATGAAACCCCATGCTGTAGATTTAGGTCAGGCTGTTGGGGTAGTAAAGAGAAAGGTGTGTCAATTAGGTCAATTTGTTGTATCAAATATATGAAGGGTAAGGAAGCCCTAATAATGAAATTTTCCATACAATAATAGGCTTCTGTTATTCTTTTTTTATTGTTTAAAGTATTACATGTCTCCTTTTTTGCTTTTGTTATTCTTGTTTGCTAGTTGTTCTCATAAAAATGTACACACTGATAAATGTGTACATTTATATACTACACAAGAATATATATACCACACAAGAATAAACTCAAAATGGATTAAAGACTTACATGTTAGATTCAAACCCATAAAAACTCTAGAAGAAAACATAGGTAATAAAATCTCAGACATTTCTTATAGCAATATTTTTCTGATATATCTCCTTGGGCAAGGGAAACCAAAGAAAATTAATAGGTTTACTTCAAACTGAAGAGTTTTTGCACAGCAAAGAAAATGGTGAAAAGACACCCCACTGAATGAGAAACACATTTGCCAATGATACATCTAATAAGAGGTTAATATCCAAAATTTACAAAGAATTTATAGAACTCAATAACAAAAATACCAACGATCCAATTAAAAATGGGCAAAGAACCTGAATAGAGCCTTCTCAAAAGATGACATACAGATGGACAATAGACATATGAAAAGATACTCAACACCACTAGTTATCAGAGAAATGCAAACTAAAATCACAATGAGATATAACTTCACACCTCTCAGAATGGCTATCATCAATAAATCAAAAAATACGTGTTGGCAAGGATGTGGAGAAAGGGGAATCTTAATAGAGATTAGTGCAGCCACTGGGGAAATCAGTATGAATTATCTCAAAAATTAAAAAAATGGAACTGCCTCATGACCCTGTGATTCCTCTTCTGGGAATTTAGCTGAAGAAACCCAAAACACAAATTTGAAAGATTGTATGTACCCCTATGTTCCCTGCAGTATTGTTTACAAATAGCCAAGATCTGGAAACAGCCCAAGGTCATCAGTAGGTGAATGGATAAAAAACTGCTGTACATTTACACAATGGAATACTACTCTGCTGTAAAATGGAAGAAAATTTTACCCTTTGTGACAGCATGGATGGTCCTGGAAAACATTATGCCAGGTGAAATAAGCCAGTCAGAGAAAGACAAGTACCGTATTTATTCACTCATATGTGGAATAATGAACAAACTGAACTACCAAGCAAAATAGAGACAGACTCATAGATAGAAAGCAGGCAGACAGGAACGGTGTTGGGGGTGGTGGAGGAATTGAGAAAAAAAAAAGATAGAGAACTAATGGACATGGACAGCAGTGTGGTGATTGTGGGGTGGAAGTGGATAGGTGGAGGTAGTAGAGAGCATAAAAGGGATAAAATGTGGTGTAGCCCTGGCTTGTGTTTCTCAGTGGTTATAGCTTTGGCACATGCACCAATGGTTGCAGTTTGGATTCCCAGTCATGGGTACATACCTGGGTGGCAGGATCAATCCCAAATCCTGATAGAGTTGCATGAGGACCACAACCAATTGATGTGTCTTCCTTACATCAATGTTTCTCTTTCTCTCCCTTTCTTTCTCTCTCTTCCTCTCTCTCTCTCTTCCTTTCACTCACTCTAAAAAAAAATCAATGGAAAAAATATTCTTCAGTGAGGATTAACAACAACAAC